AGAAAATTAACTCTATCCCAGCCAAAACCAGCACATTCTCCCCCCCTTATTCCATACCGTTTACGTCATGCTCAGGTCCCACACTATCCAATACATTGTCATTTCCCACCACCCCCCTTCCCATCCTTTGATACCGTTCCCTTAGTCTATGGGCCACCCCTGTGAAAGGTCTGTAAAATGTTCATAAAATGTCCATAAATGTCCACAAAATGTCCATTGAGTTCATTTAGTCCATGACTTCGGGCTCCATCTGTTACGATGGTCACTCAGGACAGGAGAGGTGGTGTGTTGTGTGGCACCAAAGCCAGCTCCGGTGGGGTCACTGCTGCATTTGCTCTGCTTCTTGTAAGGCTTCTCCTCCGCTGGTTCAGGTGGCTCCTGCTATAGTAATTCCTATAACGTGCAATTCAAATCATGGGTTACAACAATTCAAAGGTATTTCCTTTACAATCTCCACCCCTGGTCCCTTTGGGCCAGGTTACAGGGTTTAGCACAGAATATTTTAAATCTGATTATTCACAGCACAATGTACGATGCCAGCTTTGTCAAATATATGATTCTATGCTACATTTTTCTGGAGGCTCTTTATATATATATGTGTGTGTGTGTGTATGTGTATAATATATATGGTAGGTGTTGACTAATGAATGAAAGAAGGACCTGAAACTTTGCAGAAGCACTGATGAATATGCCAAAGGAAAACCCGATCTCTGCCCTTCAGTCCAAGAAGGAGAACAGGATTGTAACGGTGTGAAGAAGGCATAGGCTGCAATCTGCATTTTTCTGAGCGGCACGCTTAAGGACTTCCAAACATCCCTGGAAGGGTTCAGGCACACTCCTGCACTCCAGCTCACCTCTGCTGGCCGATACAAAGGAATGAGGCTGTGCAATCACATTTTTTGGAGGTCTGTCTGCAGCGGGTGTGGCACTGGATTTAAAAATCCTTGCGCTCAGGAATGGACATAAAGACCAGACTTATTTGCAGTTCTAGTGCCTGTGTCACACTCTCTGTCCTTAGGATTACAGAGCTGTGCCAAGTCAGGCACGCTGTTGATCCTCTTGCATCAAAAATAATACACAATTTTTTAACCCCAAGTCGAGTATCTTCTTTGAATAGCAGTGCAGCAAGTGACTGCGTTTGGCCTGTGAGCTGTAGAGCACGTCATCAAATGTTCTTCCTGGAGGAACAAAGTGCAGCTCACGGAAGAGTTTTTTGCAGGCTTTGCTGGAAGTGGATGTCAGGATATATTGAATAAGCAAATAGGAAAATTTGTTTTGTACTTTTAACTTGGTCAGAACCAAATTATCCATGAATCTACACGGGTGGTGTGGATTAGGAAGAAGAGCTTGCTCAGCAGCCCCACAGTAACTTGTATTTCTAAGAAAACTTCTCATAGCAATAACACATAAATGCTTTAGCCGTAGTTTGCTCCAGTGGCTCCTACGTGCTTCACAGCCTCCTTTGTGTTCCCAGAGAACACAATCTGAAGGGACAGAGCATGTGCTTCTGTTTCAGGGTTGGACACTGTAGAAGCATTTTTATTTAAATCCCTTTTCTGAGAATGGCACAGACTCATGACCCATAGAGGGTATATAATGTTCTGAATTCCTCGTGATATTTGCTGTAGGCTTAGCAGTCATTTGGATGCTTTATGACAGGCGCTTTCAGTTCATGCTTCCCTGCTACCCAGATTGCATATAGATTCCAGTTTTCCAGTTCTGTTCAAGAGAGGTTTGAATCTCCACTTGACCCTCGCAGTCTTGATTTATTCTGCTAGTGGCTTTGTGACAGCTAGCTGGGTGTTTCAGATAGGAGAAGCTATTTAGGGACAGAGACTGTGGATCAGGCAGGCTGCATGAGCGGAGACTTTATAGAAAGCAATTTAAAGCTGTCCGTCTGTTAGATCAGCTGGAGGAGGACAGCTGCGCGCATCCTGCCCGCCCTTCCTGGGGAGCCGGCAGTGATCTCTGGCGCTGAGCGTGCAGTGCCCAGCCTGCTGTGCACGAGGCGGGGAGAAATCCAGGCAAAACGTTGGCCATCTGCCTGCTCTGCTTACTGCCTCCACCCCCAGATGAGAACATTTCAGAAACCTGGAGACTGCTTCTGCCTCTCTCTTATAAATTTGCCTAGAAATTAAAGATGTTAGAAATAGATCTCTGCATCTATCTAGCTTCTCCTCCGGTAAGCATTACCTCTTCAGATAATCCGCTAGTTCAAATTCTCTGTTATTGAGACTACATTTTCATACCTACAATCTCCAAATGTTCTAATCTATTTTTGTATGCTGGCATACTTGTTTCCTAGGTTATTTCTCTCTCTCTCTCTCTCCCCTTGTCTCTTCCTTTCTGTGAAATAGTTTGTGAAATTATTTTGATTAAGCTGAACCGTGTATATTGAGAAAATGGTTCTAGGATAACCTCCCCTTGTTCTTCCTTTCTGTGAAATAGTTTGTGAAATTATTTTGATTAAGCTGAACCGTGTATATTGAGAAAATGGTTCTAGGATAACTTAAAAAGAATTTGTAAAGAGCAGGTGTCAAAATATGCAACACTGTAAACAACAACTTTTCATTTTTATTCCAGAATAAAAAAAATTAAGTGGAAAAGAAATGAAAGCGGACGTTGTATCCTTTAAAATAATGAAACTACAGCTTTATAAGGGAATGGCCACGGGGCCATAATGATTCCTGTACCTCTATTTATTTTCCATGTAAAGGTGACGTTGTGAAAAATACTGTTCTGGTACACACTGGTGTTAATCTTCACCTGAATACTTGCGCCACGCTGCCCTTCAAATACTGCAAATATTCCAGTAAATTTAAAATGACCCTTTCTCCCATCAAAGCAAATAGCTTAACGCAAATACCTACACAGGCATATTAGATACTCAGCTTCACGGGTGCTAAGTAACTTCCTTGTAACACTACTCAGTGTCTCAGTAAATGGGATGATCCTTTCATCAACCCCACCAGATAAACATAAGCACGCATACCTGTTTGAGCTGGCCATTCCGTAAACATCACTTACATAGTCCCAGTGGTCAGGCCCATGTGCTGGCCGGTGCACGGCCACGCTGCCGTGTAACGCCTGCGCTGTAGTCTTCTACAGTGAAGTCTATAGAGAAGATACAGTTATTATGTAAGTAAATACATAAAGCCTCTATAGATTTTTATGATCAGTCAGGAGGAGAAAAACCAACAGTTGCTATTTGCACACGGACATTTAATGCAAAGCAAGGACCACCTTGGACACAACCTTACAGCACTAAATCTGTTCTGACACCGATTTCGTTTGGAGCCTTAAGGACTCACGTGGGTTTGCAGTGGTGCCAGACTCCATACAGAGAATTTCACTGTAAATTCTCAAGTGGTGTTATTCTCAAAGGATGATCCTAGCTGGCCTTTGTCTGGAAGGCCCCCTGTTTAATACCATCCCCTTTAAAAGCATAACTGATGCAGACTACCGTTCCTCTTTGTACTCAAAAACATTTGTGGTGGTGGAAATCTCTTGTGTACCTCAGAGTACAGATTTCAGTGATAGAAAGTACTTACTTCTTATGTAATTAAACGGCACAAACCACTTCTTCGTCTACTTGGGCTATGCACATTACTGAATCGGCTCTTGCTAACTTTCTAGAGCTGTTGCAGGCACGTAATGGGGCAGAACCCCGACGGTCGGCCAAGGAGAGAGAGAGAACAAATCCCACTTCTCCTGCTCTA